AGCGAATCGAACCTTAGGATGAGGGATTGTCTAGGGCTCCCCATGCGGGGGTGGGACGAATCCCATGGAAGCTCTGACAAATTAGCATTTTGGGGGCCTTTTACTTCTGGAATTTTCAGTCATTTGGCTATTGTTTAGGACCTAAACAGTGGCGAATCCTTCGAAATAAGGGGAGGGGACGGGGCAAGGAGGAAATTTTATAAATGGATGGTCTATACTACATCAACCCCACAATGGCTGAAGCTGAGGTAAGAAAATTTATATTTATGGCACCTCTGCGTGGCCGGAAATGGCACTCTCAGACCTATAATTTTTTTTTCTCCATTTCTTTTTTTGAATCCGCCACTGCCAAAATAATTTTTTATGTCCTTTACATCTGTAGGCCTACAGATCATGGATCAATCTGCAATCACTGACTGGAGCTGATAATTTCCAACAGATTATTCAGCACATTATTAAAAATCGGTAAATAAAACGCAACGCTTACTATGGCATTTCGCGATAATTAGGAGATTTTAGTAAAATAATAGGTTTTAAAATGTGGACTTTTGAAATTTGGGGGTCCAGGGGAAAAGGCCTTGAGGGGGTTTGTTGAAAAATCCCCGGAAGGCTCCGACAAATTAGCATTTTGAGGGTCTTATATAATGGATTTCTCAAACACATAATTCATAAATATTTTATTTAAATTTTCATTATTTTGGGTGTTTTTGGGACTTGAGAAAGTAACGTTATATGGCCTGTACATCTGTAGGCCTATAGACAACACTGTTCATATTATGGATCAATCTGCACATTATTAAAAATCAACGGTTAGAAGAGCTGACAAATATTATAATGCAATGCATGCTATCATTTCGTGATAATTAGGAATGATTTTGTGAAATAATAGGTTTAAAATGTGGATCTTTTGGAATTTCGGGGGGGGGGGGGTGCGTCCGCATCCTGTGCACCCCCCGCCCACGGTTGTGAACCACTGGTCTAGACCCTCCATCTGTACCTCCCTGGGCCCTTCTATTATGAATTCCAATATCCGCCAGGGCTTACATAAATGTTTAGCATTTTGCACTCTCAGTTGGTCAAAATGGTTTTTCAAAGCAGTGTTCCGAGACAAAATTATAGACTTCCTCCCAACGGGGAATATTCTCCCCTCACGGGCGTTACACAGGTCTAATCAAGGACCTTCTATAGTTTATTCTATACTGAGAGTCGCAAAGTAAATTATGATTATAGCACCTCTAGATGTCCGGAAATCGTACTCATTCAGACTTAAAAATTTGAATATTTTATCTCCACAACTTTGCCAAAAGTAGGAGATCCTGGCCAGCTGAACACCCCACCCCTGCTGGATTAATATGATATAGGCCCCTATGTCCTACAGTGGATGTCAGAGAAACATTATGCTGTTATGTATAACAAAGGCCTTTTGGATCAGGATGCTATAGAGCGAGGACACTATGGGTAGGGGCACCAAATGGGCCTCTATAAGGGTCGGTGGCCCTGCGGACCGCCGTACGAGAGCGCATAGCCGTTACGCCACTGCTGTTCTAGCTGGGTACAATAATGGCTAAAAAACTTCGTCCTTGTCTCCCTCTTTTGGCCTTTTCTATATCCTGATTTATGAAATCGTTGGAAAATCGGCGTTGGGGATATAGCGTTGTATTCGTCGTCAATCAATTAAAAAGTCAAAATTTGTGAGTGGTAAAATAATAGAGCTCTCCTTTAGCCCACTGCTCCGCCACTGAACCTATGGGTACACTTCCTTTTCTCCCTTTTTACCTGTTCTCGGTTTTTTCTCCCTTCTTTAGTTCGGTGGGACTGACGGCCCCACCCCCTCGCTAGATCCGCCCCTGGAAATTTGTTGGAAATCAGTTCCAATGATTGCAGATTGTTCTATACGAACAAAAAGCTGTTTAAGTATTTATGTAGCGCTGCAGATGTGAAAGGACATAAAACGCTACTTACCCTAGGAGCCAGACCAGGTTTTGTATGCACTTTGAGGTGCAGAGAATTTGACATTAGAAATTGGTTTAGGGTGGTCCAAGAATCATTTTTGGCTTGGTAACATATTTTCAAAATGTGGTGAAAGGTCAAAAGGTCAGGGTCAAAGGTCAAAGCTATAAGGTCCTTGTATCTCTGCAACCACAGGTGGTAGAGAGTTGAATTTGGTGAAATTGTTCGGAACATGCATATTTCTGTTTGCTCTAATAGAACATTTTGCTAAAAAATGACCGGAAATGCCGTTTCTGACCTTTGACATGCTTCAAGGTCATAGCTATATTGTCCTTATACCTCCGCAACCACTGGTGGTAGAGGGTTAATTTTGGTGTCAATTTGTTCGGAACATTCATGTTTTTATTTGGTCTAATAAATGAGTTTGTTAAAAAATGACCGGAAATGCCATTTCTGACTTTTAACATATTTTATATATGATAGCCATTGAGTCATTATTATCTCCGCAACCACAGGTGGTAGGGAGTTAATTTTGGTGCCAATTTGTTTGGAACCTCAATATTTCTGTTTACTCTAATAGAAATTTATTTCTAAAAATGACATTGAAACATGTCAAAGGTTAGAAACAGCATTTCCGCTCATTTTCAGAAAAAAAAATTCTATTAGAGTAAATAGAAACATGGAGGTTCCAAACACAAATTGGCACCAAAATTAACTCTCTACCACCAGTGGTTGCGGAGATGATAACGACTCAATGGTTGTGATATATAAAATATGTCAAAAGATCAGAAATGGCATTTTCGGTACTTTTTAGCAAACTCATTTATTAGACCAAATAGAAACATGAATGTTCCGAACAAATTGACACCACAATTAACTCTCTACTCCCAGTGGTTGCGGAAATGTAAGGACACTATGGCTATGACCTTGAAACATGTCAAAGGTCAGAAACGGCATTTCCAGTCATTTTTTTAGTAAAATTTTTATTAAAGCAAATAGAAATATGCATGTTCCGAAAAATTTGGCCCTAAAATTAACTCTCTGCCACCAGTGGTTGCGGAGATAATAATGACTCAATGGCTATCATATACTGTATATAAAATATGTCAACGGTCAGAAATGGCATTTCCGGTAATTTAGCAAACTCATTTATTAGACTAAATAGAAACATGAATATTCCGAACAAATTGACACCAAAATTAACCCTCCACCAGTGGTTGCGGAGATATAAGGACAATATGGCTATGACCTTGAAGCATGTCAAAGGTCAGAAACGGCATTTCCAGTCATTTTTTAGCAAAATGTTCTATTAGAACAAATAGAAATATGCATGTTTCGAACAATTTGGCACCACATTCAACTTTCTACCACCTGTGGTTGCGGAGATACAAGGACCTTATAGCTTTGACCTTTGGCCACATTTTGAAAATATGTTACCAAGCCAAAAATGATTCTTAGACCACCCTGAGCCAATTTCTGAAGTCAAATTCAAACTGGTCTGACTCCTAGGGTAACTTCTCTAGATCGCGTAATTATTGGAAATTTAAATAGAATTTTGACAAATTATGGGTTTCATTAACAAGACCCTCAAATTGCTAAAGTGTGTCGGAGCTTCCCCAGATCCCACCAGGGTAAGAAGCCCCTGCATTTTAGTTTGCAAAAGTACTGTAATCTAATAAGCCCACCTCGAAAAGAAGCCCATCCAAAGGATTCTAAATAATGATTTTATAGAATGTTTGGTATGGCTATAGTATAATGACGTTATCAAAGCACCTAAAGGGATATGCCTGGCATACAATGAATTTTTAACATAATTACTGTATTTATTTGATTGATGAGAAGTTTTTTGAGGGGGAGTTAGTTTAGTTTTTGGTGTAAAACGGATACGTATATATTCTAATCAACGCCACTTAATTTAACACTGTAAATGTGGAACTACAATAAACACATAGACCTCTTACTGTAAAAAATGTGTTATTGCATGATCATAAAGATTGATCCCAACCAGGATAGAAAAAAAAATCTACTGCAGTAGAACAATAATGAAATGTGATGAGAATGATGTTGCTTTCATTAGATTTGTTTACACTCATTTATTCCAAATGAGGATCTTGTGGGGGGGGGGGTGTGGTGGTGTTGTTCGAAGGGGCGTTTATTCAAATAAATACGGTAAAATCCAAACAAGGCTCTAGATGGGGAGTTTATTCAAAGACGTTTTTTGAACCTTATGGTGCAATGATATCCACTGTTAATAATGATGACAAGCCAAAAACTCAAGGTAACATGATTGATTGATTTATTTGGCATTCAAAACAAAAATTCACATTTATAAAATTATATGGAAATGGTGAATAATATTTAACTACAGTACAGTACTAAATTGTAAAAGCCAGGGAAAAACAATTTTGATATGCTGTATAACTGAGACACAAAAAGCATATCTGACTAAAAATTTGGGGACGGTTAATGAGATAAAAACTTGGAATATTAAAACCTGGGAGAAAAGGTGTGTAAAGCCTGATTTCCATAGAATTGCTACACAGTAGCTAAAGTGTTTTCACATTTAAACAATACAAAGTACTGTCAGAGCTTACAAATTCAACTATATAATTGATGCTTTGAAGATTTAAAATTTATATCTATTTATACCTAATAATGAGATATCCATACTCATGATCTTGATTAAGTGCGTAGACATTATCCCAAATTTACACTAACTTTAAACTCAATAATGGAGAGGAATAATAATGATAATAGTTATTATCAGAATTATATTCTATTATTGAAATCACTTTATTAATTATTTTTTTATTCCTTGTTTCGCGTACTTATTTTTTTAAAAGAAAATTTAGTTTTCTTATTTAGCAAATAGTTTTGCCTAAATCATCCAGACAGAGGAGAAAATAAAAATAAAATTCTATTCGTGAATGTAAAATAGGATAGTTAAATGCTTCAAATTTATATAATTAGGAAGAAACATACATATATTATCTTTCAAGAAACGTAGGGCGTAATAAAAATATAGAAAAACTTTTATTTTTTTCTGAAATTACAACTTTTCTGTGGCGGCGGGTGCGCTAATTGGCCAAAAATAAAATTTTATTTTTATTCAAAATCATCAATATTTTCAGTCAGCGGGTTCGCTAAACAAATTATAAATAAGTCTCACCTTAGTGAACCCTCTGAAGCCCAATAATGGTGATTTCAGATAAAAATGAAATTTTATCTTTGGCTAGTTAGCACTTCATCCGCCACAATAAATAGAAATTGCAGAAAAAAAAAAATTTTATTACGCTCTTCGCTCCCCTGAAATCCTGATATACATATATTTCTTCCTTAATTATATAATTTTAAAGCATTCATCAATCTCATTACTACACAGTTTACATTCATTAATAAAATTTGGTATTTTCTCTACCTAGATGCTTTTGGAATAATCATTTTGCTAAATAAGAAAACACAATTTTAATTTTATTTTTTTTCCCGCCCTCTGACAAACTTTAAAAAAATATTATTTCGCTAAACAAGGTATTGAAAATGAAGTAATACAAAATTACGAACAAAACTGACTAGGCAAGACTAGAAACAATGGCCCACAAAGTAGGACCAACATGGGTCAGCAATTAAATAATATGTAATGTACAGTAGTTGGATTTATATAGCGCTTTATACCAAAGTATTAAAGCACTCAAGACATGGATTAGCATGTACAGGAACTTCCCTCTCCCTTAAGGGTCACTTCATGTCTGAGCTACCAAGTAAACCAGTGCCAATACTCTTGTCTGTCCACAACGCAATGCTACTAAAAACAAGACAAAATGACCACTAATACATAACAGACATGTTTTTAGAAGAACCTTTCTCATAATCAGTGTGACACATTTCTTTCTAGCTTAATATAGATATTAACAGATAGATGCACACATGTATGCAAATTAAACACAACTTTCCACTAAATAAAGAGACACTAAAGTCAAATGATGATAAATTCTTCTAAAGTAAGGCTGTATAATTTTTTTTTTAATTCTTTAATTGAGTTTTTGTACATACTTGTGTCAATAGATGTCTATTAATCTAGACAATACAGATATAATTACACCTTTATAAATGTATAAACACAAGAACAAAACATGTCTGGGACAGGGTCTTTCATATTAAACATGCTAGAATTTTTGAAAACAATTACGACCACTATATTCAATAATATTGTTTAAAGGACCATTGTATTCTATATATAACAATGTTTACAGTTCGTAAAAACAAAAGTCTAAAAGTAATTGGTGCTATAGGGTTCAAAGGAAGAAAGGGAGGGGATATAGTAAAGGGAACTTTGCCTTTAAAATGCATGCTTTAAGTTTTGCCTATACTTTATTTGTTTTATGGCAGAGATTTTACCACAAAAAGAGTTCATTAAGATCCTTGTGAAATCCCAATAATGCAATATTATTATCTTATAGCCTGCAATTTCATCAGAATACAAATTAGTTTATACGATCATGATAAAGTCAATTTGTTCTTGCAATAAATCATAAAGTTGTACAGAAACAAGAGAAATTGCAACTATATTCATTCTTAAGCCCTATCCAGACTATCAAATTTTATTTGACAAAAACATGTGACATTCCTAAATATCTTTACACAATGACATTATATCATGATCACATATAGGCACATCATGACTATATGGGCATACAACAGTTATTTGTCAAATAAAATTTGACAAGCTGGACAGGGCTTTAGTTTAGTGTACACTAAACTTATCAATAAATTATTGATATACAGTATATTATTTTATTCTTTAAAAAAATATTATAATTGCTATATGTGAACGTTTTGCATAGCAAATAGAAGTCAACAACTGAAATATTAAAGCAAAATTCAAACACAAAATACAATTTGCACGAAGCAATTTACATAAATTTAAAACAAAAATAAAAAACAAAAATGAAGAATGGATCTCCACACTGAGATTCAGGTAACCACTACATAGTTAATCAGTCTATTATTACTTGCTTCCAGTCTAACAATAAAGCTAAACATTTATTTTCTGCAAAATTCTTGAAAATTATACAGAGCTTATACTACAGTACAATGTCTTCATTGAATGATAAGAACCTGTACTCAACATTTAAACAAGTTGCGTAGTAGAAATAACGTTACAAAGGTCGAAATCAATGGCACCAAGCAATCTTAGTACCAGTACTAATCACTCTCCCAAAGTTGTTTCCATTTCAAGCTGCATCTTAAACTCATCCTCTAATTCTTTTTGCTGTCGCCTAAGTTCATCTTCTCTATTCACTTTCATTTGCTGAAAAAAGTTAATCATTCAGAAATTTAGTAAAATAGAAACATAGAATACTTAACTTAAACACAAAAATAAAAACATTTTTTTGCTGAAATTGAGGCATCATTCTAAGACAGTCTTAGCTACAAGGGTGGGAAGAGTACTACCCCCTTGTCGGTGAGGAAAAAGCACAATTCATTAGGAAAGAATAAAATTGTGTACTCTTCAAAGACAGTTAAACCAGTAGTAATGATCATGGGAATATTCTGTTTTACTTTGAATAATTGTTTTTAAGGTGTGGAGAAGTGCTAAGCTCTTAAGTTTATTATTTTGTTCTCTATTTGTTTGCATGGTAATCTTTGAGATTTCACTGTAATAAAATATATTTTATTTCATCCAAGAGGAAATTTCTTTGAAAATTTCAGTGTCCCTGTTATTTTTTATCATTCCAATTTTGGGACCGAATTTTGTTGATCTAATGTTACTACAGTATGTTATCTTTTACAATTGTTATCATCATTATTGCTATCATTACTAACTGTTGCTACTATTTCTATTATCAATGCACTACTGCAATTGTTATCATTGTCACTACTGTTATATTATTTTTTTTATCAATTAAAATTATTTTTATCACTGTAATTATTATTGTACTGCTACCTCTGTTATCACTGTCATACTAATATTGTTCTTAAAATCTAAAGTTAATAGTGAGTTGTTTATATTTTCATTGAGTTTTTCCTTATATCATTATTGCTTAATTGTAATTCAAAATATTCACTTTTATTACTAAATTAAGTTAAAAAATACAAACCTGGTTCTTTTCAAGTGTATTTCCACGGCGAACTTTCTCCTTTAAGTCGTTAATTTCACTCAATTTCTTTTTAAGATTCGTAAGCTTCTTTTGATATTCAGGTACACTTATGACCGGCACAGATTTCCTGACTGCCCTCATGGCAGGAGGAGATGAATTCCAGCCACCTAGGCTCTTGACAACAGCTGATTCTGTCACCTCTGACATATTTTTAGGTTTCACGTAATATGCAACCGGACCTCCCCAGCTAAATCCAATGTAGAAGACAACCTCTTCTCGGCTGGTAAGCGTTCCACTTGAAGAGGCAAGAAAAATTTTAATAGGCTCATCAGTATACTTATGTTTATATATTATTGTATTATTATCTGATAACATTCCTTCAACTTTCAGTAAGTTTTCTCGAACCACTGGTGTCTCCCATATTTGCTCTCTGTCTCTCTCAAGCCTTTTTGCATTTGAAGTTATTCTGCTATAATGAACCAATGCTTTAAGTCCTTTTCCACTTCCAAGAAAAAAATGTACCACTGGTTTACTGCGGCTGCGCTGGCTTTTTGAATGACGTACATAAAGTGCATGTTGCGAGGAATAATTTTCATCCACCCAGTTTTGCTTTTGGGACTCACGCCAACGAACGCTAATCTCTTTTAAAGATTTCTTCATCAATTTATTATCGTACTCTTGAAGTGGCTGTCCCCGTGGCCATAACAACATCAGAAGAAACAAAGGTGGATACAGACTGAAATCCTTCTCTTTTCTGTCACATTGATCAAATTCCTTAGCCAAATTGATCATATCTTTCATAGGTGGTAAGTCATACTGTTGTTTATTTCTGTTTGGTGAAACTGACAGAGCTAGGTTTGCAAGAATTATATATTTCATGTCATATGCATTATATGGCTCATTCTTCAGTAGTAACTTTCTGATTTTCATCAAACTACCTATGTCATCCTCTACTGCTTTATCAAAGATCTTTGCCAAAGAATGTGCTCCAAGCTTTCTTGCTTTTATTCGGCGTAAATCATTAGCCGTTTCAGCGCCAAACATGTTCACATCTTGAATGTCAATAGATCCAAAGTGATTCTCCCACATAACTAGATATAATCTGATTTTCACTTTCAAATCTTTTAAAGTTGAATCATCAATTAGTGTGTAATTAGACCACTCTTTCTGAAAGGTAAGGAAATTTGTCATGGCATCAATAGCACCATGAACATTTCTCATCAAACTTTTCATTTTCTGATGGTAATCGGTCCACTCTACTAACTCATCTGGCAGAAAATGTTGATCAATCAAGTAGCGTTGCAGCATCTTACGTCCATCACTAGAACACTTAAAGACGTCAAGGCATGTCAGGACATCCAACAGCTTAAAAGTCATATCAACTTCACCAGAGAAACTGGAAGTGTTATCTTTTCGGTCAACAAGACTTAGTCTTTGAGACATCTGAAAAGTCTCAATACCACTGAAAGCCAACTTTAGAAGTTCAAAGCTACTCTTAAAGCTTAGTATCTTATCTTCCACTACATATGTGTGATAAAATGACTTAATTATCTCTTTTCTGTAGATCTGTCCCTTGGTGTCCCAGTAAAAAGAGTTGTCTTTCTTCATGTCAATAGCTTTCTCTATGAATTCTAATGCCATGGGAAAATCCTCAATTGCAAGATTGTAGTATCTGGCAATTTGCTGAGCAATTCTAGAATCTTGTAGAACTTGGAAGCCTAAAGTGAGAACTTTACAAGCAGCTTGTTTGTCAACACTCTTTATTTCTAATATGAGGGCTGAAAATTTCTGTTTATCAGCTGAATCATATCCTTTTCGATTTCTCTTGATGAGAAGGTCATGTGTCCGTGCGATAAGATACTCTCGACTTCGCGATTTTGAATTTAGTAAAACTGATTTGAGATACATTTTCACCACAAGGTTGAGGGGTTCTGAAGTTGTAATATTCTTTAAGATGAAATCAGCTACTGTTGGATGAACAATCTTAAATCCTTGTACACTTCCTACCTCATAGATATCAACAGTAACCATCAGGATGGAGCTACCCTCCGACCTGTTATACTCCCATGGGCAATTTCTACCCTTTGGCACAGAAAAGGAATAGCCCATTAATTCATCACAACAAGGAATAGGAATGGCAGAGTCGCGCTCAAACTTGCTGAACAATGCACAATATTTGACTAGCTCAAATTCATTTGGATGTTCCTTTTTAAGATCAATAAGAACTCTATCAACAACCTTCTTTACATATGATGATTGAAATTCCTCTTTCATCACCATAAAAGCAAGAAGGCGGTCTGGTGTAAAATCCCTGTCTTTCCTCTCTTCCAGCTGCTCATGCTTATGTTGAAACCACGCTTTCTCATTTCTACTTAATGAATGTTCCAAAATAAAGTGGGAGTGGGATACTGGTACCTCTTTTTTCATTTCCATTTGGGATAAATTTCTTCTGCAATTCAAGATAATACAGGCACGGGCAGGAATATATTTTGTATTGTACTCCAGTGATATAACCATATCGGTCAAATCCTCATAGCGAAGGTTATCACTAACAATTACAAGGGGTAGACATTGCCTGAAGTCCTTTCCATCACCTTCTCCATATTGCCACATATCCTTAATTTGAGATTCGGTCTGGTCAGTGATTTTGTTCAGAATAACACATCTGTATTTTCTGCGGAACTCCCATAGAACATGCCTTACAACTGTGCTCCCACCTGCACCAGGTTGATGGTACAGGTGAATCCATTGGATAACAGAATGATGGAGAGATTTTGCTTCATGAACAGTATGTTCAACGGCTTTTATTATTTCTTTTTTAATATCTCTTTGACATACATGATCATACCCCATATCAGTTAATTTGAAGTTCCAGAAAGTCAGTTTTTCACCTCTGTAGAATTCTAACTCCTTTTCTCTACAGAAGTTTACAAAATCTGGATGGTTTTCATCCATGTCTGTATTTTCACATTCATTGTATGTAACCACTGATAAATCAAGCCACCTAGATTTATCTCTCTCCCACAACTGACATTCACTTCCATTAACAGTGGGCAAAGTGTAGTTTGATTTTACATTCACACCTTGCATGCGCATTATTATATCATTCAGAGATTTCCAAGGAACACCTATGATGGCTCTATCTGGTAGTGCTTCTGGTTTGCAGTACCATGAAACCAATTTACACCACGTTTCAAACACCTGTGTGCTTTCACAAATAAAGACGACACGATTGATTCCAAAATTAGTATAGAACTTACGAAATGCTTCACTCAGTACTTCAATGTTGGCAGACAGCAAAATTAAAATAATAAGACCTGTTCCTTGTCGAACAACACTGACATTAGAAAAAAATTCTATAGCATTATCCATATCATGACTTCGTTTCTCAATCCAAGTCATTCTATCCATAGCCTCAATATCACTGTCTGTGCGTCCATTACTGAAAATCCAAACAGGCATTTCAGAGTAACTAATTTCAGATGGTAACTTAACATTAGATACATCTTTTGGGAAGTACATTTTGATACTTCTTTTCGATCTCACAACTTTACAAATTCCACTTTCATTAGAAAAAGCATCAAAATCAAAAACACCCTTCCATCTAACTTTTGAGATGAAATCGAATGACTCATCTAGATCCTTTCGAAGCTCTTCATCAGGATCATTCACTACAAGAATCGCATCATACACTGTATCAAATGTTACATTCAATTGCGATGTTCCAAGTAACAGTTCTCGTACTCTTTGTTCAGCTTCAGAAAAAGTTGAAGTACTTGGACAAGCCACAGCTGGTTTAATTTTTTTCTTTTTCTTTTTTGATTTCTTTTTTTTTGTGCCTATATCACAAACCACTTCTCCATCTTTCTCCAAATCATCTGTCAATAATTGTGCTGTGGGTGACTGTGGAGAATTGGTAGAAGATGCTGTAGATGATATTAAAGGTTGTCTTTTTGAAGCTAGAGTAAATGAGCTTTCAACCAATTCTAAGGGTTTCTTGTCTAAATGTATGTCTTCTGATGGTGTTGACGTAACACTCATCCCAATAGTTTTGGCATCGGTGGAGGACTTCTGGGCATTTTGTGATAATGTCTGCAAATGTAAAACCAACCGAAGTGGTCCAGTTGTGAGATGTAAGTCTTCTTTAAAGTGCTCTGCTCGATATCGCATAAATCGAAATCCTGATATCTCCATGTTTTTAAACTTTTCTGCATGGATTGGAGTTACTCCTACTTGCAACAACAACTCAAAAACCATTTCTATGCTACAGTTATCTGTTACAGGTTTCAATACAGCATTAGAAACTTTCAGTGTGTCACTTCTTTTTTTTTCCAGTCCATATTGGATCATGCGAAAAGCAGACTTTTTTAGGTTGAAGTCTTTTGCAATCTCATCATCTTCATAAAAAAGCAGATTTTTTCCAATGACCTCTTCTTCATAGAACTTGTTCACAATGTCATCTTTCAGACGAAGGTCTACAGAAAGCCATTCTCTTACCTGGCTCCTATTCCACTCAGCCATCATGTTCTTGCTGGAGAGCTCTTTAAGTAAAAAATAGAAAATTATCAACAGTTTATGTAAAAATAGCAATACAACAATAAACACACATTTACAGTATTTGCTTGTATTTCACAGCCAATGGCCAATGATTGCCATAAAATATATTTGATTCCTATCCACATTTCCAAATCCTTCTCTGATTTCTGAATATTGAATTGCATAATTTAAACCAGATCTCTGCAAAGGCCAAGGATCAAAGGCAGTCTCACTAAAAGGCACATACTGTACTATCACACACTGCACAAAATATAAAAATTATGGTGTTTTAAAGCCATAGTTTTGAAGTTTCTAATGTTTTTTTGGCATGGAATAAATATTGTGGGGTAGTTTTTAACTGCAAAATAAAAAACAGCCTAATTTGACCTAAGGCTAACTTAGCTAGTAGGCTGGTATATGTTTACAATTAAAACTGTTAAAAAGGACGGATTTTTTGATTATTTCTTTATCAGATTTTGTAGAATACAAGTATTGGTCATGTGATGTTTGTTCTGTGTACCTCATCTTGGCATAAACTGAAAGGTCCACTGATTAATCTCAGATAAGAAAGTATAATACATACTCCAAGTATTGAAATACACGCCATCGTGTTGGGATTCAATATTTCGACATTAATTATGTCATCATCAGGAATGAAAAAATTATCCATATTATCAAGCTTATATGCACTAGTACCAAAAGTGTTTAACCAATCAAAACATTACCTCTAGTAGGTGACATAGCAGTGATTTAAACAAAAGGTCAAAGCATTCTTACTCTAATGATCAAAGATACCTACAAAAACAAAGAAAGCGCTTTTGAAGCTCTGAGCCCATTGTTAAGCAAAGGGTGTAGTCTACGTATAGCGAACGCTTCTTTAAACAACTTTTAAAGGGTACCCATTCCAAGACATAAACTTCCTGATGTTACTAAGCTCTGTTTGAAGTTTATCAGAGTACACAATCTGTGGGCTCTAGAAACTAAACTATGAATCCAGGAGATCTTATGGTTCCATGGAGCAAAGCTATCACAATGAACATATTGACCTGTATGTGTATTTTTACGATATATACTCATACTTCCTACACTGTTGTTAAATTGTAAATCCAGAAAGTGTACTGTGTCACTGTTTTCAAATGATTCAAAAGTAAAATTTATCTGTCTATGAAAAGCATTGAAGTAGCTTAGAATTTGTGGGAAATCATTGGGCTTAGCTAATACTAGCGTGTCGTCAACAAAACGAGTATAAAACTTAATAGTACCTGGTTCAATAAGTTTTAGGAACAATAGACTCTTCTAGTACAGTCATTAAAATATTAGCTAAAACTGGGCCAAGAGGCGAACCCATTGAGACACCATCAGTTTGTTTATAAAACTCATTATTACATGTAAATACAGTTTTAGTACAGCAATCTCTAAGTAGCTTCCTTAGCGAATTTTTCTTAAGGTTAGTAGATATCAGTTTCTTATTGTAAACCCTATCAAGAATTATATTAGTTACCTTAGTAAGGGGAACATTTGTAAACAGAGATTCAACATCAAAAGATACAAAACGGTAACCTAAATTATATAAATTATTTGGTATAGCTTTAATGCGGTCAGCAGCATCAAAAAAATCTTTAAGGACAAAGTCATTAACCGTTAGAGGGCCTAATAAGTTTGATAAGTACTTAGCTACTGAATAATAACAAGTACCGGTCGTGTCAATAATAGGTCTTAGGGGTGGAATATTATCAAAATCTTTATGTAATTTAGGTAGTCCATGGGCTCTAGCAGGCATGGTTGATACTGGACGAATTTCTTTGTATTCAGTTTCAGTTAGTTCATTTCTATTAAATAGTGTCCGGAGGTAGGCTTGTAAGGAGTTAAGCTGCGTGGTTAATGAACAGTTAGATAGTTTCTTAAACTTAGTTGAATCATCTTGGCATTTTAATAGCAAATCATTCTCAGTTGGCTACTGGTGGTGTAGTCACTGTGTGTGTCTGAACCATGAGGATTCTATCTGAGCGCTCTCCTTGTGTTTTCAGTTTTAAGGTGTGAAATGCAACTTTCAATAAAAAAAATAATAATAAACAATTAGTAGGGCTGCTTCTAGCACAATAGTGGAAAATATTTACACAATGGTTAGATTTAATGCTTAAAAAAATTTCCTGAGGGCTTGCAAGGAATATTGAATGTATCATACCTAATCTATAATAATTTTCCCCTAGTGTACGATGTATGCAGCTATACTAATTTCTTTATTAAAGTCAGTTATCGTCTTTTAATGTCAGCCAATCACCATCTTTTAATGTTAGTTTTGAATGGTTTTGATAATCAACTGTTGTAGCAGTCATCGTTTGCTATAGTGATATAATCAGTATACTGTGAGTGTATTGCATTTTAGCTGTACGTATGCTGATTTGTTCTCTTGCAGTACGCGCCAACAAACAGCTAGGAACGTTACACATCACCCGACCAGTGGAGGACAGTAAGGTAAAATGTTAGCCAACAGTTATAAGACCTTGTTTTATAAAGCTAAAATACAAATACCGTATTTTTCCGAATAAACGCCCCCTCCAGAGCCACATGTGGAATAAACTGGGTGTTTATTTTTTCCTCGAATAAACGTTTAATTTATTTATTTAACTTTAATCATTGAGATTTTGGAATGTAATGCAAATTACCCAATCGGCAGTGGAGGTCCAACCATGGAGGTCCAACTCAGTGACAAGAGGAGCATGCACACATACTCTTGGAAGCAGTGCTTAAAAAACCAGTGTTAAATTTGCTATTCTAACCCCACCACGCAGTTAGAAGTATAGCGAATTTAAGCATTGCTGGGTATGCCCTTACTTCTATTGACTGACAGGCATTGGCAGGTACAGTATTTGAAATCAACCATACTGAAATTCTAAGCAGCTGTGAGTACGGCGCAGTAGGCCTGCTATACCAAAAGGCTTAAAGATTGAAAATGTAATTCTAATGAAATCAGCAATTAACTTTAAAAACATTAAGGTTGGTATTCAGGTAGATTTTATTTATGCTTGGTGGGTATGCAGAGCATATCTTGCTGGATACGATAAATAACTACTTATTGTGAATTTGAAGAACTTGTATTGCTATTTTGATAGACATTCGTCAAAGAAATAAACATTTCTCAAAGCATTTGAGACAACACAGTAATCACATTTTGGTCAGTGCAGACAGGTAAAATTGTGTGATTTCATATGTAGGCTAGGTTACAATCTAGATCTAAGCCTAGGCTTCAGCAGTCTCCTGCCTAGGCCTACATCTAATTTTGTTCTTTAAAATACTGTATTGTCTCTAATAAACGCTCCCCCTCTAATAAACGCCTCCTCTTTTGTTTAATTTGCCAATTAACCATTCATGAGTACCCAACCGATTTAAACAGAGGGTTTTTACATTTAGAATGGTTAACAATTATTTACAAATATTAAAATAACAAAATTTTAACTTTATTGAAGGATTAGAAACATCTAGAAATACTTGTAATGCAACACATTTACCAAGGGCAGCCTGTCTAGGGAAATCCCCATTCCTCCCGCGTAGACGGTTGCTGTTTAATTTTCCGACCATGTTGGTTTCAACAATCATTTTAGTTAAGTTTTATTAAAACTTGATACAATAAAACACTTTTGAGCATGTATCTATTATTCAATCAATTATTCTACTATTTTGGTGACTAAAAAAGTTGATATAGATAATTCTCGGCCTAGGTTTAAGTCACCACTACTGTGTGAAGCATGCAATCATCAGACACCATGTAACAAAGAGAACAGAGAAATACCATGTGACACCATGTTTACGCATGCTCAGATTGACAGATGACGTATGCCTTTCTGCTTTACAGTAAAAAAGTACCGTATAACTTAAGAAAACTTGTGTTTTTATAGGACACATTAATTTAAGTTTTTATTCTAAAATCAAAACACTGCATAGCCACCCATCAACCAGACATCGTACAGCAACTTTTAACCAGTTCACCAATGGCCATGTGCGTTTTTTCAATGTTTCTGAAGCTATTCACATGACATCGAGCACCAAAAAGATAATCATTTGTTACTGTTTTGGATGAGGTGGGTTCAAACAGGAGCGTTTCAAACCTTTTTATGAATGAACATAATATGAAAATCAAGGGTCTCAAGTCTCCCGGAACTCGCAAGAGTCTCCCGAAAATCGGGGCTGCCTCCCGCAAGAATCTCCTGGAAATTAACTCATCTCATCAAATTTATAATGTTGCATGTTTTCGCTTGAATGTCGTATAAAATGTAGGAATCTTTACAGCACTGTAGTGAGTATAATCACAAATACTAGGCCAGCAAACTGGTCCTAACATTACAGTAGGCTAATTAATTGGGATAGCTTGGGCCTAGAATGTGACTACCTAGAATTTTTTTGGAGTAGGTTGATGATCAGACGGGTGTATTTCGTGGTTGAAATTGCGTATTAAATTTGCGGCTTATACACCACCAGTACAGTAACACAGAGATCTTCGTGTTTCAAGTCTTTTTACGCAATCCGATAGATGGGGTAATTACTGACATGTACTAACAATTTGAACACTATATTTAGTGTGGACTGTAAGTATTTCACTATTTGTTTGTTTACGTTGAACGTAGCGGTACTGATGTACCGGTATTTGGTACCGTTGTAAAGCTAAGATGTTTTTACTTCTTGTAGTATTCATTACATGTCAATCTGATCACATCTGCACTCTCAACGAGCTTCAGAAAACCGTCGAAATTTGCTAAAAAGTGTGGCGGTAGCTGATACTATTTTTTCAAATCCCAGTCAAAGTGTTAATAAAGAAACAACTGATTGACCGCTTAAAGCAACTTGGTTAATAATTTTACAATTCACCTCTAAAAAATGCCACTACCCCACCTTTGAAAAAATTCAATGCCCGGGGGCGTTAATTAGAAACAATACGGTAGGTCTAGAATAATTCTATGTTCAGTTTCTTTAGTTTATTATCAGGGTTCATTGATTCAAGGAATTCCTTAATTTTTCATACTTAATATTGAATTTGAAGTACCTTTCTTAGGGTTCTAATAACCTTATTTTTTGAAATTAATTTTTCAATTACCACAATTACGTCAATTGGGTGAGTGTCTGCCATCCCTTCAGCAGGGAAATTCATTGCGGTGCGTGATACAGACTGTACAAACCGAAAAAAAGATCAAGCTAACCGTGCATTATATGCAAAAATAACAATTATAAAACATAGTACACTCTTATAAAAAAAAGTCCACCACCCCCTGGACTGCCCAATACACCACTAGAAGTATAAACCTGCTAGAAGTCAGAGGTCTTCTGACTTTTGTGTATTATCCTTTGTGTATCTCACACTGAAGAAATTATTTGTTAACCTAACGTATTTAAGGAATTTAGCGGATTTATTAGGGGACCCTTTTGGAAAGTAAAAAAAAAAAAAAATGAAAAAGAAGAAAGAAAGATAACAAATCATAGATCACCTCAGAGATTATTTCCGGGCGTCTAGTCCCTTTGCTGACATATGTGGCAAAGACAAGCCAAACCAGTCACTCGTCGCAAAAATCGATTTTGAGTTATTAATTAATACAGGGTTAAAGAGTAAAATAATAGCTATAAAATGGTAAAAAAATCATTCAAATCGGACATTTCCTTATGAAATTACAAGCGTTTAACCACACAGCTGTTTAAAGAACAATATATGAGAAATTAACTGTCAAAGTTTATGATTTCAGGCATTTCTCATGTAGAAACTATCTTTAAATCCTTGAAAAGTATTGTTTTAACATTGAAAATGGGGAAAATAACAGCATAGAATGATGTGTAGATATATAAAGGTTAGTTTAATGCAACAAAATAGATTTTTTAAAATTTGACATTCCAGCATGTTTTGGCCATTTTCTCTGAAACACGATTTGCGACGAGTGACTGGTTTGGCTTGTCTTTGCCACATATTGGTGTTGAAATGTGAACCTAAACAATGATTTTTTTTTTCAATTCCAATATAATTGAATCATTATTTCTGATTGATTATGTGCTCTGGGGTCAGTTTTCTGGTGCATTATAAATGTTATAAATTATTATATTATTAACTAAAAAAAAAACGAAGGGTACTTTTTGAAATCTATTCTGCATGAGAATGTAAACTGTGAGAACCAGACCTCTGCGAGGGCCAAGGTTCCTATGCGAGCATTCGTAAAATATTGCACTACTGTATTTTCAATGATGTAGACATGGCAACTAACGAGGGAGTGCTCGTGTTAATTTGAGATGACAAACACACTAGCCTTTGCACAGCCATACTGTACGCAACGCATCTTCTTTGACATCTTCCTGTGGGCATATTTAAACTAGTGTTTTTGCTATGGTACCCCTGTTTAGTTAGAAATTTATGAAGTTCTAAGACAAGTCCATTCTTGATTAATTTTGTACTTAAAAAAAAAAAAAAAAAAAAAAAATTATTTTCTTCAACTGTACTAATAAGCTCAGAGAGCTAGCAAAGAAAGTCAAACTTCAGCAAGAACAAGAAAAATATTCACATGTACGGTACTACGGTACATACATATAATTAATAGGCTAGGCCTAGGCATATAATTGAATTATACAGTAGTAATAAAAACACTAACGTACTTTATAAAAATATACATAGCCTAGTAGGCCTATTAGTAGAAAATGTATATGTACAGTATATAATAATTAGTTACTAGCCATATAACAGGCATTGGTCCTTTTTAATATTTTAATTGATAGTATAGTCTATAGAAAGGCATAGGCCTAGGCCTAAGCCTACCCCTAGCTAGCATGAACCGCTTTAGAAAACATTGAAAATGATAGACCTAAAACATTAACTTAAGTAAAGTTATTAAATAAACATTACAGTCCTAAAATAAGAATTACACCGCAGTTGTGCACATACCATATATAATTAGCAATAGAACGCAACCTAACCTAGGCCTGAAAACACGATCGGACGAGAATCGTAACAAGATTCATAACCCGATGAAATTGCGATGTTCAGGTGGTGTCTAGTTAAATTACACTGCATCAAGTCCATCCAGTGAGGTATCAAGTTTGTTTTATGTTTTTTTTCAAACCACAACACTTCCATACACAACACAATTCTATTCTGTCTGCTGTAGAACCTTATCCAAACTGCAGTAGTATAAAATTGAGGGACTGCAGATAAAGTTTTATATCCATACCAGCCAGGAAAGTCCCTGGAGTCCGATCCATCACATTTAAGACAGTTAGTTTGGACAACGAAAGTACACAACATTCCATAAATGTTTTCCTCTTATCATACAATTTACTAGTCTTTTCAAGAGTAGGGGGGTATTGTCTCTCATTAGTATGGCTTTAATATTTGTCAAAATAGAAAACTATGAAATAGGGCACAACCAAAGATCCAGATTAGCTTGGGTACGGACGCACAAAACAAACAGATGTCTGGAAAGTCACGTTTGCCTGTTTACAAAAAACTGCGTAACATACTAGTAACGTACATACTACATACACACGAGCAGGATTTTAAAAGTTCCTATGATTGCAAGCATAGGAACCAATAAAAATGGATAGATCATCAATATATTACCGGTAAATTATAAACACAAGGAGGAGTGCATCAAACATTCTGTCAAAACACTTACCAAATGTCTTTAATTTACATAAAACTGTTTCATACATCTGCTCATCAATATGTGTTGACCAAGACTGACAAAATTCCTCTACCTCACTTTCTGTGACTAAGATCTTTGCTAGCTCTCGGAGAAGTCTACCATTCTTGTGGCTTTCCATAAGATTTTTCAATGCATATGAGTCATGCACTGACAGACAGAAGTTCAATGATCCACATGATATTGATCGTAGATTAGGGCCAAGCTTTCTAAACACAGATTCCAAGTCTGAGAGTCTCTGCAGTAGCAATTCGGTTTGTTCATCACTTAAGTTATCGCAATTTTCATCATAGTTTAAAGCGAAATTTAACAACCTCCTCCGGATATCTTTTTTTTTTACTTGTTCTTTAGCTTCATCACTGCCATGTCTTTTCTGTAGTCCAACATTAATATCTGGAATGGAATAATTTTACACATACTATTATAACTACTGTAATTGACAAACATAAACAAAGATACAGCTATATTAGCCTATTGTATATTTAATACACATTAATGTATAAAGCACAATACTGCAATATATTGTAAAGAAATTGGTATAGTCTATATTGCTTAATTTTACCCTTTTATAAAATGGGTTAACCCAACTAATGGTGATTGGCTTTTAGATTTCTTCCCAAAGTTGTATGTAAAATAGAAAAGTTGTACTTGGGTACAGAAAAATTAAGGGAGATTGATTGGCGACTCCACTTTGTTCAGACATGAACTCAAATTCTTCTGTTCCATATCTACAGTAGTACCTGTATTTTGTATGTTGCTTCGGTGAGTTTTTGTTATTGAATAAAAGAGTCACAGGGCTCATTACACAAATTAAATACTGTATGTCCTTAATCTTTCTTAGTTATCATAAGTTGACTGAATATCACCGTCGCAAAATATATATATAATATAAATAAATAAAAAGTGAGGTTCAACAGTAGCTTTGATTACACTTTCAAGTTTTTGTTTGAGTTATTTACTGGTAGGTTGTTAATTTCATGTATTTCACTAAGAATCATTTATAACTATGTTTTATGATGATCATAGTGTGTGTTTTAATAATATTTCAATGATTTATTTACTCTCAAGCCTGAGTTTGAGATGACAGTTTGACGATCGAATCAACTATATTATAATGCTAGGCCTAGAATAACTTGTTGATTACACGACATGATGGTTGATCGTCAGTATAGAACTGCATATCTTATGAATATGTTCAAGTGTTGTCTTTAGCTAAAATTCACCTTATTTTATTATATACATTTCTAGTACTCCGTAAAAGTAACTTCATGTTTGTTCTAATACAATAACCGACACTATAATTGTTTATTGGAGCGACTACCTACTTTGCTTACTGATAAGAATCACTTATTGATGAACATGTGTTTGTTCCTTGTCACTCTGACAAGAGAGGGCGCTATATATGTAAAAAAATATGGCTGCGCCCATGTAACGTTCGTGTAGCCTATTCTTTTTTTTAGTTGCGATCTTTGATTATGATATTCTTGTGCTTATATTATGCTCATTAGTAATAATGGTTATGAGAGCTTGACCATTAGGACGTAGTTTATTAACGTTTTGTTAACAACTATATTGTTAATAATTATTTTGATGAGTTTTCCTTGCAGTATTCATTAACTACTGTACTGTATTTGTTGTTATTAATAATCTGAAGATTTACATTTGTAATCAACTTAAGATGATGAACTTATGATTGTCATATGTGTTTAAACAAAGACTTTATACCATTTCATTGAAAGATGTAATAATTAATATATTCATTTATCAGGTGATGGTTAATGAGAACCTGGTTTTGGTACAGAATAAAGCATTTAATTAAGTACAGATTTGGCCTAAACATTACCAGAGTGCATCACAGTTACTGTACTTTATTGTTATTACTTTAACATTACTGTAGAACATAATGCATTGCAAACTGTTATTTTAATACTGAATAATTACTGATTACTTACCTTTGAGATGATATGAGTTTCATTGATGATAATGATGATATTAACACTGAGTTTAATAATGATGTATCAACGAGGGTAATGTAATGATTGTAATCTATTAATGAGGTTAATGATTTGTGCACACGATTGATGGTATTTTTGGGTCAGATAGATACACCATGCTAATGTGCAAAGAGATAAGAAGTTTGCAAGAGTTGTAAACAGAGATGTTTATTAATTGGAATGTTTTATTAGTGATTTGATGGAACCATAATGGCTGAAGTTAACTTAACATGATGTTTTTATAATTTTATTGTTTTCCTGAAGTTTGAATATGATTATGATTGAAGGAACGCTTCATGGAGTGATGTACACTAATTGTTTTATTTCTCTGATTATTATTTCAGGGGTTCTTTGTTTTCTCTTAATATGTTACAGTTAATAAACGTTGATACCACGTTACTTTGGTCTTAGTTCATTCTTTGACTCAATGTTTTGCCCACGACAAATGATAAATAATAATTACAGTGCTCAAGTAGGAACAAGATGTATTAATGATTCAAACCAGTAACCACTCGCTGTCAAGGTTGGTATTACAGTATGCCTACTAGACCCCAGAGACCTACTGTATAGGATATACGTGCAGTTATAACTCCTAGGCTGAGGAGAAACAAACGCTTGATTTGAAGGGAAATGTGGATTTTCTGTGGAGCTAAACTGTCAAAGTTTGATTCGACAGGAACTGTAAATTTGGATTAATTTACACAAAAGAGTGTAGCCATGTAGTAGTAAGAACAGAGCATTATATTTTGGATTGGAAAATTTCCATTTGGCAGCTACAATTTTCATATTACTGTATTGTAGCACATTTATTTGTTACTTTTGTAAACAGAATTGTAGATGAATTTAAATATTTGTTTTTAATTTTTATAATATTCTTGCTTCACTGGCCTAAATTTATAAACATGAACGTGGCTTTTTCAAAATCATGATTTACAACAAGCCTACAGTAGTTTTGTAAAAATTAGGGAATTCAGAAGCATAAGGGGAAAGGATGGGGAAAAAAAATTTCATCCCAGGTTCTCCTATTCTACCACTATAAATTTTCTGAGCACAAAATTCCACTCAAGTACAAGTAGTTAAAAACAAGGCCAGTGCCAGATATTCCCTGAGGAAGAGTCCCATACCCATAAAAGGGCCCACATTTACCTAAGCCTCACCATAGTCAGGATTGAGGTGAGCAAATGTTTAAAATAGACACTTTGAATGCCTATGGCACTGAAAAATATGTTTTCAAAGCAGTGTTTTCAGCAGAATGACATGTCACGGATTCTTATTAGTGCATCAATTTCAGAAAGAATTCTGAACAGTGAAAGCTCGTTTTTCCTGATCACTGGATACAGAATCATCATACACAAAGTGCAACAACTTCTACTCCTTATGGATTAATTAAACCATGACTGTATGAATACTAATAAACACTAGATTTGAACTCGTCATTGAGGACGAGTTTGGTGATCCGCCACACTTCGACATTCAGGATTCTCAAAATGGCCTAAAATATGCTCTAGTTAGTTTTCAAAAAAAGTGTAATTTTAAACATTTGAAGAGATTTACGCTTGCGTATGCGGACGTCTTGACGCCTGTGTGCATGTTAATGGCACAAAAAGTTAACTCCTGATATGAATACAGTGTCAGGAACCCAAAATATGTAACAAAACATAATTTCCAGCTTCAGTACGTGTTGTGCACGTGGAAATGAGCATACGGTGGATAAAAGCGAAAATGTCCTGAAACGCGCTTTAAATTATCTGAAAAGTGATACTGAAAATTTCCAAATTTTGCCACACACGCACCGACGTGTGCGTGGACGGTAATGGCATACAAAATTAAACTTTTTCAAGTGTAATTTAAAAACGCCTCTTGGTTGGTAATGCCACACAAATTTTCCCTTCATATTATGTACTATGTCGGTCAGATTACAGTCTGCCGCCTTCTCTGTCGTCGATGATTTTTTGACAAATTTGAAGAAAAAGGGATGATAGGGCTCCAAAAATTCATTCTTTTTTACCATGATGACGTCGTCAAAGTAAAAAATAAAGGGACACTTCCGAAAGAGAATTGTCGCAGCTACAACATACTTACAGGTGGGAGACGATCAAACAAGAATAAGAAGATATGTTTAAACGAGTTTAAAAATAATGATGTCATAAATAAAAATTTAGTTTTTTCTTAATTCAAATGGCAATATGATGATGTCACAATGTCCGATCAGCCATTATGATCTAAAATCATATTTACAACTCATGTGCTTTCAGAATATATAATAAAAAATTGGGGGTCATCTTTCATCCTAAGGAGCTATAACTGATTAAATATAGGCCTGATTTTAGCATATTTTCACGGTATATCGCCACAAACGCGTGCAAAGGTCCCTATGTTTGATGCACGCGTACGGCATTGCTATTGGCCATAAGATGACCTAAAAGAAAACAAATTTTGAAATGCTGACAATTGGTTAGGATGATGTGATCGATAATGAAAAAACGCAAAATTGCGCGTAGATGACGTCACGAATGACTGAGCACATTGAAAACCTTATTGTGACTATTCCAGGCCAAACCAAATGTTTATTGAAGCGCGATTGTGTGTAACTCGCGGCAAAATTGAAATATTGTGCGCACAAAAATGGAAGGAAAGGTAGAATAAAAATAAAAGATGATGAAGTAAGAAGATCTCTGACAATTACAATAGGTGATCTGCACTAGATGCGGATCACCAAAATAGAAGATCCTGACAATAACAAGAGGTGATCCGCTCGAGAAGTGGATCACCAATAATAATGCAATAATGTATTCTTTACTGGTGCAATTCTTTATTGGTTCAAGTTCATTTACCAAGTACTTTACAACCCATTACTATATCTGGGTGAGGAGAGAACTTAAGTGATAGGATCAGTGCCACCCTTCAGTGGTAACATCTTATCATATCTCTGTACGGTATCCCAACCTACACATAAATGTTCACCTACCCTGACTATTAATGACAACAATGTTGTTATTTCCTTCCACAGATACAAGTCCTTGATGCCACTTTACATTATTACCACTCGGAGTTGTCTGCACCTCAAGTTCAGGAGAAACGTCTGTTTCATCATTTGACATCATTTCTTGAAATACAGTACCACTGCAATATATTGACAAAATATGTACATAATCAAGCTTACAGTAAAGGAAATTTTTCATTTTGTTGAACAATATCAAAACTGGTTAATTTGACATGAACTTATCTGATAGTCATATCACATTACATTTACATGGCAATTTAATTTATTTTATTACTATTGTGATGGAAAGTTACTGAAATAGCTCAATGTTCTAAGCTTCCAAAATTATGGGTCGATGTAAAGTTTAAAGCCGAGTTCCAGGTTTGAAATTTTTTATATCGTTTATTTGTTACAGTATATCATGATGATATAAAATAAATCCCAACAAAAAAGTCGCAAATTTAAGGGAGAAAAAAACACAAAAAAAACTTTACATAGTACAATTTAGTTGAAATCAAGGCTAAGCATGTTTTTCACTTGTTTCGTAGTCTTACACGAAAATCACTATATAGTATTCATGTTTCCATTCTGCCTGTCGTGGCTTTGCGATATTATTGAATGTTTGTATGCTGAGTGAGCAGTAAGAGTCAGATTTCCATGTTAAAATAGCCCTGTAGACTATGGTTATCTCACGAGATCTGTACTACTGAGCTGTGCAAACTGAGACTATTAAGCCCCTTTCAGACAGAAAATACTGCAATAATACTCTAATCATAAAACTGCTGCTTTGCAAATGTTTTTTAATGCTTGCTATGTTTGCAATACATATAAATTTGAGAAACAGAAGGTTTCTAATGCGTTTCGTTCAAGTGGAGAAAGAATTTAGGAAGCGTTTAAGGTGAGGCCGGCTTAAATTTCGAGCAGCTAGGTGCAGTCGATTTTCGCGTCTAAAGAACCGTCAGCTAGTGATTTCATCGGCTTTGTGAGCTGCAGCAGCAGTTAATGGCTACTCGTGTGACCGTCTGATCTGTTATGCCTAGTGCGTAAGACGGCGATGAACCCTGTACCCTTTCAAATCGAGTTGGGAAAAACTCACTACGGTATTAATGCGGTATTACCAAGGAGGTCTAACTGAAGCCGGCGTCTAGGCGTATTTACCCTTTCACATAGAACGCTGGCGTTCGAAAAATACAGCATTAATTCCGTTTTGCAGGTCTGTCTGAAAGGGGTATTAGTGAGGTGCAGTAGCCTAGGTTTGGTCAAAAGTTGCAATGTGGTGTTGTATTGTCATATTCCTGTTTTACAGCCAAAAGTCTAGATATCAATTTTCAGTTAACTTTATTCTATTTCAAGATATTGCTAATTGAAAATGCAACTTTATAATGTCATAAATGAGAGCTAAAAAGGAGTATGAAACCATAATTTCAAATGGCCATAAAACAACTTGGAATTGGCAATTGAAATTTTGGGTTTGTTCTTTAGACATGTTGGTGCATATTATATCAGAGTTTCAAGAAAATCTGACAGTACTCAGCCATCCCATTTGTTAAGGTGGCATGGAATGACCCAGCTATTTTGTCAACAAAATGGCATTTTGTGGTGACAAAATAAATCCTGTCTTACAAACATAGCATTTTGTGGTGATAAAATAAATTCTGTTTTACAAAATCATGATCTTATGGTGACATATTACATTTTGTCAAGACAAAATGATGTTTTTTCGACAAAATAGCGCATCCCAAACGGCAAAATAATAGTTTGTCAACAAAATAGCGCATCCCAAACGGCGCCTCGTAGTCTGAGTGTCAAATTTAGACACTTCGAAAGCATAATTTTTTTTAAAGTGTGAGGGTGCTATTTTTGAATTGCCACGCCCTTTAATTTTCTTACCTTCTGCAACCAGTTGGACTGAGGTGGGTGTAATAACACAAACAATATGTAATAAAAGACACAATATGTAACAACACACCACCCACAAATATAAGTGTGTGAACAGTGGGAGAGCCCTTTTTGAAAAGTCTGGGAGGGTGGTTAGAGTTCATTTGATGTCAAATAATGATTTTGATAGTTAATCATTATGCATGCTGCAAAAATTGGTTCTTATTTAAATGTGATGTAAAAGCTTACCAGAAGTTTTTAGGTTATTTCAAGTCAAAGGTTATTTAAGGTCAAATACTGGAAATCATGGTATAATGTAATGGTACATGTAGTTTAAAAATGATTTAATTTCCCACGTTTATGGCATTCACTCGAATACTACTGTAGCTTGAAAATTCAAAATAATCGCCATATACTTTTTTAATAATCATAATTACAGATGAAATGACAAAAAATGTGTTTAAAAAAACGTTTTGAGAACTTGACGAAAATGAATTTCGAAAATTATAACTTGATCACATGCCTTTTAATATGCAAATTAGCTTAATTATACAAATCAGGTGGGAACATATACGGCATCTTCACAACTGCTGGTCGTAGAAATTTTTTTTTTTCCAAAATATTTAGTATATGCATGTAGGTCATAGGCTTAACCTAATCAGCTCAGCCTAGCCTAATTGGGCCTAGTCTACTTTTAACAAATTTATATTCTTAAAATCTATCAAATTTGACATTAAACTAAAGCTAAATCATATTTACGTTTGATAAAAACAACCTTTATAGATTGAATGTACATTGTTTTTATACCAATATTCGGTGTGGTGATTCCCAAAAATTTAAGGCCTAACCATTTAGGACCAAAATCTCATGCATAAATGTAATATTGTCTATAATAAAAAAATATATGTATACATTATTGCTCTCTCGCTAAATATCCATCATTACAGTGCTTAAAATAGGATTGTTTTGTCGTTACATATTTGAACACGAATAAATGTTGGCGCACCACCACCCTGGCTGAGGTGGTTGGCTTTCTACTATAAGTAACCTTCACCGATATAAATTTTGATAAGGGTCGGTAATCCCTAATGGGTACTTGGCCGGGGATGTAATTTCCAAAACGGTTACATGCATGTAAAAGTCCCGGCCAACTCCCGGCAATGTGGGGCATCCTTTTAACGTACATCTCCGGCTAAGTCCCCGCCACTTACCGCCGTAGTCCTGGTAAACTGCCCCGCTAATAAATGATTGGATGATAAGACCTACTTGAAGGTCTAGCCTTGGTTCGGAGAAGCATGTGAGAGCTAGGCAGGAGCTGGACCATGCGTATCACTAAGCAATTTCCATGGAAGTTTGGAAAAGTGCAAAAAAAAAGGAGTGTATTGACAAATTGATCTTAGAAAAAGAAAATAATTGATTAATTGATTGATTGATTTGAGTGATTGATAGAACTTAAATATTCAATATCAAACAGAAATTAGGCCTAAATAAGAAAATAAATACATGTAGTATGATGTAGTAGAAGCAGATTTCCTTGGCTCATGATGGTAGATGATTTTTTAATTACCAAAACACTCAGTACTGTAGTTGCCAACTGAATGCCTAGCCTAGCCTAGTGTAGGCTAGGACCAGATCCGGTTTGACAGTGCTAGGCATAGACACCAGAAATCGCAGCTACTCTAACGTTCCGAGGCCTGTTATTACGGGTAAATTTTAGATAGCCTATGTCCCGGCACTACGGGGACACAAATATGTGTACATCCCGGCTTAGTCCCAGCTAGTTCCCTGCTATGGCCCAGGTCTACAATTGACAAGTGCATAAGATAAGGGCAAATAGAAAAATTTATTATATTATCACTCACGTCTGCATCAAAAATTCGGGGAAATATTGATGCAGGAATAAAAATAAAAAAATTTTTTTTTTGCCGCATCAATTATTTCAACAGCATAAAATAACAATGCAATTTTGTGACTTAAAATACATTTTCTTAAAAATTAGACCAGTTTTTATACAATATTTACTATTACAGGCCCGGGTACAAGCCAAATAAACAGCCCCTCCCTCATCGATAAAAACAAAAGCAAAATAATTTATTGTATAAAAAAAACAAAAAAAAACCACCCTCCCTCAGCAATTAAAAAAAAAACGAGTGACCTAATAAATTTTTCTAAGTGCCCTTAGACAAAAATTTCTGCATCAACACTAAATATGTAATTCTTTTACAAACCACTGAAGCACTGTCAGTGTCGGATAAGATCAAATAACACACTACCAATCGCCATGCGCTCGGCTCATACGAGTGTGACAGGTTTGTGACGGCAGCAGAAACGGCTTCAAGTCATCTTGGCCCTTAACCGACTCGGACCATACCGACTCGGCCCATAACCAACTCGGCCCATACACTAACTCGGCCCTTGTCATCTTGGCCCTTAGCAAACTCGGCCCATTCACCAACTCGGCCCTTGTCAACTCGGTCCCAACTCAGCCCATTCACCAACTTGGTCCCAACTCAGCCCATACACCAATTGGGCCCAACTGACTTTGCAATTGAACCTAGGCCTATTTCTAGTTGCATAACTCTATAGAGTACTGTATATAATTTGTGGAAAGAAACATTACGATTCCCATGTTACTCTCTACTGTAGTATAAAATCGAAGGAAACTTTCCCACAAACATGCTTCGGCACAGTATTCTTGATGATGAAGCAGACACAACATCTTTGTACGGAATTCCTTTGTACGCCACCTTCAGGAATGTGGGTGCACTCTGCTAAGACAGAGGTATAGGCAGATGCTGCCTGGTGATCATGTTTATAAATACACAAATAAATGGAAACATATAGTAAAATATAGGTTTTATTGGGTATTATCTGGTTTTGAACAACCAGATGAATTTGTGTCAACGTAGTAAAATATAGTTTTATTATTATATATAAATACATAGAAACTAGCTTTTTGACTGAACGGGGAAACCGAAATTATGATGGTCAGAATTCTAAAACCAAAGCCTTTGAAAGGTCCAAAAATCAATAACAAGAATGTGAGGATTTTAAAGACAGCATGCAGGTTTAATATTTTATTTTTTATATTTAGTTCGGTTTAATTCTTGCGTTTCCATCCAGCGTTGGGCCCACGATTGTATAAATACATTAAACATTGAAAACATTACTATACTATGTGCATACATAGTACCATAAAAAAATTTACAATAACAATGCCAATAATTAATACATGGTAGAAGCATCCTCGTCGCGGCCCTGGTTAATGCTAATTCTACCACGAACATACCTGTGGACAAATATAAGATTAAGAAATAACATTAAAATACGTCAAAAGGCTACATTAAAATTAAAACAAAGTAAATTAACATGCCTACATTACGTACCGCATGTTCGTGTCTCCTTTATTTCTTTATGGTTAATAGCATAAAACATTAAATAATATAATATTACAGTATTAAGATTTAATACATTATTAAAAGGCTTTCCCATTAAAATATTCCAAAAGTGATTCAGTTCATGGGCTGAGTTGGTTAAGGGCCGAGTTGGTTAAGGGTTGAGTTGGTTAAGGGCCGAGTTGACAAGGGCCGAGTTGACAAGGGCCGAGTTGGTGTATGGTCCGAGTTGGATAAGGGCTGAGTCGGTTAAGGGCTGAGTTGACAAGGGCAGAGTTGACAAGGGCTGAGTCGGTTATGGTGCGAGTTGGCAGTGGGCCGAGTCGGTATGGTCCGAGTTGGCGAAAGGCCGAGTTGAGGATGCTTCTACCATGTATTAATTATTGGCATTGTTATTGTAAATTTTATGGTACTATGTATGCACATAGTATAGTAATGTTTTTAATGTTTAATGTATTTATACAATCATGGGCCCAACGCTGGATGGAAACGCAAGAATTAAACCGAACTAAATATAAAAAATAAAATATTAAACCTGCATGCTGTCTTTAAAATCCTCACATTCTTGTTATTGATTTTTGGACCTTTCAAAGGCTTTGGTTTTAGAATTCTGACCATTATTTTGGTTTCCCCGTTCAGTCAAAAAGCTAGTTTCTATGTATTTATATATAATAATAAAACTATATTTTACTATGTTGACACAAATTCATCTGGTTCTTAACCTATTTTCAGTTGCAAAAATACTAGCCTAAAGAATGTATTTCCGAGCATCTAAGGAAGGACTTTTTCGGGGGAAGAGTGCAGCATGCGACCCCTAGGGGGAGGATTTTTTAAAACAAAATCTCCCGCCTTCAAATTGGTCCAACTTGGCATATCTATGGTGGTGTGTTGGGAGCAGGTCAAAACGGCAAAAAAACCAAAACGGCAATGACCAAAATGGCAATAAACCAAAACAGCAATAAACCAAAACGGCAATGATAAGTACCAAAACAGAAACAGACAACTACCAAAACGGCAATAGGCATAGACCAAAACGACAAAGGAGCAAAAATCAATGCCAAGAATGAACAGCCACCGGGCGCGGGCAGCAGTTTATAATTTTCTGAATCATGTTTTGTTTTTTGTTATGTTTTGGTTTTTTTTACACATCCATGACTAGGCCTATATTATTTTAAAGTGTTATTTATTATTATTATTTTTTTTTTCTTTCCCGTTTTTTACTTTCATGGCATAATATTGTTTAGCCTCATTTTATCTGTATTTTAAAGTTTTAATTATTCAAATGTTCACTGCTTTTATATTTTAAATTGTGTTCTCCCAATCTTTCTACTATTTGTCTTTATACTAATTGTATTGTATGTTATTATTATTATTATTTATTATTATTAATGTTGTTGTTCTTTAAAGTGTTTCTTTCGCGCATTTTTACTTTTATGACATAAATTGTTTAGCTATTGAATTTGTATGTTATACTTAGCTATTAAGCAATTAGTAGAGCTCCGCATAGTACGGTACACTATAGGAAAATTATTATACAAAGGTTAGATTTAATGCTTGAAAAAATTTCCTAAGGGCCTGCAAGGTCCGAGGGAAATTTTTGAAACATTAAATCTAACCTAAGTATAATAATTTTCCATTTAGTGTACAATGCATGCTCTACTAATTGCTTTATAAGTCAATCGCCATCTTTTAATTTTAGTTTTTTATAACCAACTTTTGTAGCAGTCATCGGTTGCTATAGTGATATGATCAGTATACGTGTGCATATTTACATTTAGCTGTGCGTATGCTGATTTTTGCTCCTGCAGTACACGTTTAATTAACTACACATCAGCAGTACAGTACGACTACGATGAATAACTATTGTGTTAAAAAGAACTTGTTTGTAATGCTATTTTGCTAGACTTTCGTCGAAGAAATAAACATTTCAGCATTCAAGAGAGAATAAAGTCACTGACGTCCTTTTTAGTCGGTGCATGCAGACAAATAAAATAATCGTGTGATGATTTCATAACTAGGTCAGGCTACGGCCTAGTAGTAGTAGTAGGAGGAAGCCTGGTGTTGATAGTAATTACACTGCAGTACCCGCTGCTTACTAGGACTCAAATTCAACCCTGGCCATCAGGCGCAAGCTCGGTGGTCTAGAGGTATGATGCCAGGCTAGTGATCTGGAGATCGTGGGTTTGAGTCCCACCCGAGAACTTGCGATTTTTTTCACAGTTGTTTTCAAATGTACTGAGTATTCGGTACATTTCCACGTCAGGTAGGGCAAAATTACACCTATACATGTTCCTTCTGACTCAAATCCAGTTATTGTCTATTATTCCATCACGACAATAACAATTACTATCAGTTTGTTGTGCTTATGAGGGTCCACTCATTCAATGAATTCCTTAATTGTTCATACTTAATATTGAATTTGAAGTAACTTTCTTCGGGTTCTAAGTAAGCTTGTTTTACGAAAGTAATTTTTAATTACAATACAATTTGTTTGCGGTGCGCGATGTATTCGCGGTGACAAAAAAATGAGAAATTTTTTTTGCACATGATCCTAAAAAAAAATCAAGCCAAGCATCCACTAATAGAAAAATAGGTACCTAAAAGGTACATGTGGCTACTGAGCTCATAATAAGAAATACTGGTGTGGCGCTTTTCATGCCCATTCCCATGTTACACATCTCACATTCCCGTAGTACAGTAGGCCTACCATAGGTCCAATGTCATAGTAAATTAACACTTTAATACAAAAAAAAAGAAATACTTGTGTATTCATTGTGTTATTTATTCATCTTAGCACTGTATACATTGTATTTAAAACCCAAATTCTTTAGTTGCACAAAAGGTAATAATATACTCTTAAGAGTCACAACGCGGTGCTTTTTTGAGCATTTAGGGCAATTAAAAACTATATAATCTGAATCCACGACTTTGTAACAA